TAAACTAATAACTCATTGAGGAAGTGATCCATTTAGCCTGGGCTCTTAAATAAGCATATAGTGCTCTTTAAACGCATGTTTGTACTGAAATACCCAGGTAAGTGGCCTTCCTTCTGCTGGCGGGGAGGCACCAAAGAGAGTCCTTTCAGAAAACAAAGCAAACCAAAAATACTACTATAGCAAGATACTTCAGGAACTTGCACAAAGATGTGCATTAATCCTTCAGGGTGTGCTTGGCTGAAGTTAGACTTCTAAGAGAGCCCTAAGCTAACAGACTGTCTTGCCAATCTTCTTCCTTATATGCATATTCCACAGGCGATATACACACACTTCCAATCTGAGCCTGAGTTTTAGTTGACTTGTACATTGGTATGTTGGATGCTTCTTTCTTGGAAAGGTGGGCAGGTGGTGAGGGGCAAAAGATGTTAATGAAAAAACTCCTCGGTAACACAGATGCTAAATCATAACTTGTCAATATATTCAACTCTAATAATAAATCATTTAAGACAACACTGCATAGAATGCATATTCTAGAATAACAGTTACATCTTAGTCTTGTCCTGAAGATGTTAACATCTACAGACGAAGCAATTGCCGACAGCAAACACCACAAGCAACATCAGGACTCAGAATGACTCATTGGGGTTATAATCTGTTTGCAGTGGCTGACAAAGATCTAACAAGTACTACTGGTGCTTCAAGATACTACTGTAGTGCAAACAATTGTCTAAGTTGAAGAATCAAAGGGCAAAAATCAAACCCGAATATAATCAATTATAGTTTAGAGCAATAGTTAATGTCATTAGATTGTTAGCAATTAATATCCTTATGGCAACCATCGCTTTTGAGTGACAGGAAGTGCAAGATGCAAGAAGTGTTCAAAAATAAACCCATTTCAAGCTGTAACATCTTCCAGGTCTCTTTACAGCTACTAGCGTAACTTAGGATAACTTCGTGGTTGTAATATAACAAATACCCTGAAAAATTAGGGACAGTCAATGTCTTAAGAGTGAGCTTGTATAAGGAAACAAAGTATCAGAATGTGTTATAAAATAAATCACCCCTGAAAGTAAGATTCAGGAAATCTTCCAGAAGTCCTTTGCTTTCCTCTTTTGTTGTGGTGGCAGTTTTCAATTTTTAACAGATGTAACAATGATTTTTATGCTTTTGATAATGAAAAAAGATCAATAGTTATTGAAGAACTGCTTAAACTTAAGAAAATCAAAATGCAACTGCTTGCTACTCCAGTATAGATAAATAACTTAAGTCCATGGGAATTTTTCTACTGAATTTTACAGCAGAAAACAAAACTCAGACTTCAGTCTACATACAAAGTTGAAGGGGCTTTGCCAGCTGTTTAGAAATTCATATCATTGGACTTACGGACAATTCAATACCGAAACCTATTAGGTTAGTAGCTGGTTGTGTATGTTGCACCAAATTCCTTCCTGCACTTGTAGTAAGCGTAGGTCTGCTAAGATATTATCTTACATCAGATTACAAGTAACAAAAATGCATCCTTCTCAGAATAGCTAAATAGAAGTCTGAATTTTATGAAAAAAATTCTAATTTTCTTTCACTTGCAAGGCCTCTAGTGACTACAAAGGGTGAGAAATTCTACTGGGTTTGGTAAGTTATGGACTGGGCTGACAATCATAGTGTAATGACATAAGCATGCATGAATGTGTGTATATATTCCCCTGACCCAACCCAGACATTGAGCAAAGTGCAACCGCTCACAGAGATTACGTACCAACCAGGATGAGGAAATCCATACACAGCAAAAGTTGCAATCTCCAAAACCTTTAGTTAGGGAACAAAAAAAAGAGTCAAAACCTTACTTTGTAATTCCGAGTTTCAAAAATTATGTAAATTTCTTGACAGCAAACGTTTTCAAGAGCTTTACGCCACTAATTTGACTCATTTTGAAGCTCTGAAATTGTCATATTTGACTAGGTATTCTCCAAATTAATCCCATGTACACACACAACCCAGTGGTGACACACATAAGGACATACAATGAATCACATTAACCATGAATTTGGCCTCATCTGCCATATGGGTTTCAGGCTTTTGGCAAATAATGATAATAACTTTCTGCCACTTGTTTCTGTATTCCATAAGCAAAGTGATCTTTAGCTATGTAACAGACTTCCTTATGTAATTGACTCCAAGAGCTGAATATTTCCAAATAACATTAAAAAGGCTGCCTATAAGAAATCTCACCTTTTCCATGAATTTAAAAAAGCCTGCCTCCAGAAAGCAGACCCTAAGAGTACCATGCACCACCAAAACAGTCAAGCCACTGAAAACCACATCACTGGCTCATGCTGTTTAACTCAGCATATTAGTGTTGAATAAAAAGCAATTCCAACTAGCTCTTGCAGTTCCTAATCATCCTAGTCAACAAATCTAGGAATACAGAAATTAACAAAAAGCTTACCAGTAAAATTACAGTCAGAAGTCCATCAAATCTATTGCTTGGGTATGACAAGTATCTTCTCAAGCCCATTGCTAAGATTTTCAGCAACATTTCCAGCAGATAGTATAGGATGAAGAAGCAGTTGATCGCCTTCACACCCAAAAATTAGTATTAATTAGAATTAATAGTAATAATAATTAGAATTATTAACATCTCGAGGAACAGCAATAACTGTAGGAATACTGTTGCATCTTACCCCCAGGAAGAAGTCATCTCTTTCAGAAGGCTGCTTATCTGCATCCATCACCAAAACCACCTTAAACAACAAGAAACTTTTTATGAATGCACTGTTTTACTGCTGAACAAAACAGATTTTTAAGCACGAGAACAAAACAGTCTTTTATGCTTTGCACAGACGTTTTCAAGCATACTCAGAATACAATTTTTTAACTTCAGGTATTCTCTAAGACTTTCTATGACTAAAGCATGCCAAACATGAACATCTGCTTCAAAAAGTGATTATCAGAACACAGACCAAAGAACAGAAAGAGAACTGGGGGGGGCCGGAGAAGGCAAACAAACAAAAAAAACCACAAAACCAAAACTTTTACTTACACAGATAGAAACAATGTTTGCAAGGGCTACAACATTCCCCAAGTAACCAAAGTAGGCATGGCCAAAGGCAAACTGCATTTTCCGCATAAAATGGGATTGGTACTCTGGACTGGGAGGATGCTGAAAAGAACACAAAGGATTTGCTGAGACACAAAGTATAAGCATTTTAATAATGATGCAGGAAAAAGCAGCCAGACCCAGATTTAAGAGAGGGACCTTTTCAAAGCAAAACTTTTCAAGGACGCAGGCTGATTTTTACATTTCAGTAAGAAGGTGCTTTCAAGCTCTGGCTATTAGCAGCAAGAGATCACTTCTGATTAGCAAATGGGTGGGCGATTATGGCACAATACAAGATAATGGAAAAGAAAGGAGATAATCCAACCTTCCTCTAACTCCTAGTCCTCATTTCTTTGAGTCTTCTGTTAAACCAAAAACACACACAGAGCCCTCACCTATTTTGTCTGGCTAAGTCACTTAAGAATGCTGACAGAACAAACCACCATGCATTTCTTACATTTAACACTCCCATCAATCCCAAACTAATGCAATGCCACGTCTGACTATAAAAGCAATCCACAAACAACTTAAAAATCAGTGACACTTGATCACACACCACGTTTAACAAGTTGTGAAGTTTGTTTATACACTTTATAGTGGAATACTATCACATTTTTGCGCAAGACCATGGTCAATTTATGACACTATAAATGACTGTCAGATACATACTTGTTTAATGGCCTCTTTGTCTAGTTCTTCAAAGAGCTTCTGAAACTGGGCTGCTGACAGCTGGTCACAGGAGCACATTTTGAGTGACTTCACATGAAAGAGAAACATTCAGATCAACACCTGCAATAGGTACATCTTCAAAGATTGCCAACACCCTCAGAATATCTTAGATGCCCAGGAATAGAAATGTAATACAACCTACACCAAGGTATTAGAGTGAGCTTCAATATGGCTTTGCTTTAACCCAAAGCTGTGACATGACTGTGGGATTTGCCTCGTTCTATTTTCCCACTCTGGGATCATGTTCTGCTTAAGAAGGAGCATGCTCTTTTGACACACTTGAATTTTTGGTCTCATATAGTATTGCCACTATTATGTTATGATCCTAGGAATGAAGTTACTATATCAGTTATCAATGTTCTGCAGAAATTACTACCTGAAAGGATGGAATTATTTCACAAATTGTAATGTGAACATGACAATTACATAGCATGCTAAACACTAACTGCAACAGTAGCACACACAGCAACAAAAGAAATGGAAAAAACCCACCAGCAACAAGGAGGAAAACAACTTGGATTTGTGTACCTAATTAACAGTGCAATGGACAGCTCAGCATAGTTACAGAGCAGGGTGTTTATTTTCAGGCAACTCTGTTTACACATCCCCTATCCCAGACAACAACTGGAAGCAATACACATATACCTCTTCATTTAATTTCCAACCTTGACATTGGAGCCAGGCAATTGCTGGTGCTATAGCCATCAGCTCTGAATTGTCACTTCCTTTTGGCAGATCTTACAACATGGGACTTCCAAATCCTGCTGCAACATTGTTCTCAAAAAGCAGCATTACTTTTAGATAACTTTTCTGAAACTACACCACTAATCTCCACATGTCCTGTTAGAGCTGAATAATTTCTCCAATCTCTGAAAATCATGGCATGAATGGCAACATAAATTAAGTCTTTAGTTAAGCAAACCCACTCTCCATATAGCCTTAAACAAGTAGTAATACTTAGAGCTGCACAGCAAAATCCAATGGAAAAAAAGATATTTTCAAATGGGGGGGAAAGCTGCTATAGACAGCAGTGAGAAATGTTTTACTTCCAGAGAGAAAGTAAAGCAAATGCAAAAATTAGCTCTGCAAAACAAGAGTTTTCATTATTCTACACCTCTCTACAGGTGAATGCATTCCTCATCACACCAACCAAAAAAGTAGCAACCTTAAGGTGAAACCATTGCCTATGGACTGTTTTTGTTCCAAAGACCAAAACATAAACAGACACTGAGCTGGGCCTCTGTTCACACTCATAAAGAAAGCTGAGCTGAAAGCTACCTCTCCTAGATGAATGGTGTGATTAAGGAAATTTCAGTTTCCACCGCTGTCCTGGCAGAGGGTTTGATAGTCACCAACATAAAGACTAAGAAAATCCGGTTCTTACTCTCATGATGGCTTGCTTGCAGCGAGAATCCATTTCAACTTTCTGCAGCACTCGTAGTAAGGCCCCAATGCTGACAGCCGACCTATTTAAAAGAAAATAGGATGGCCTGTGAAACAGGTAACTGTCTTGCTGGAAAAAAATAGCTGTTCCAAATGCATCCCTGCCTCTTTCTTCTTTTGAAAAGCAGATAAAATTACAAGTAGAAATGAAAAGGAAACAGACCCCATAAGAGTCCCAAACAGGGTGTTATAAACATGCAGTTAAAGAAAAAAATAAAATAAGAGAGAGAAGCAACAAACTGCCAGTTTTCAAGAAGGGATCCTCAGTAAATATACTACACAAAACAAGATGACCAAAGACGTGCTCTTTTCTCCTAGATAATCTACTGTTTTAACATTCTTCACTTACTGTTGTGCATAAGTGGGAGTCTCTTTCAGGCAAGAAAGCACTTCAAAGGCAGCCCGGATTCCTAGTCGCCTCCTGAAGAGGGAGGACTGAACTGATTTCTGGACAGTAAAAACACCACAGAGGACACAATTTACTTACACTTGTTTAACACAAATCCAACTAGATGATACAAATAACACCTGTAAATTATTTGCCCAGCCCTTAGACTGAACCTAGTACAAGCCCCAGAAATGATCATATCTGTTCAACTAAAAATATTTTTTCAGCAAGGCAAGATACTGTTTTCTTTCTCCCATTGCCGAAGTCCCCATCATTAGCCACTAGATCTAGCTATGCAGATACTGGGTCCAACCAGACATTCCACAGTTTAAAAGGAATACCATGGAGAATCACGGGCTGAAATCAGTAAAGCCCATTCCTACCAGAAGGTCTTGGGGAAGATCAGGGCTACCCAGGTCCTCATGCAGTACTATGGTCAGATAATATACTGATCCTCTGGCACACATCCAGATTTGTGATTAGAGATCAGAATAGGAGACTTCCCTAGGCCTCGCTCCCTTCAGGAACTTCATGTACGAGAAGGAAGGAAACAAGCAAACAAGTCACTGGAGTTCAAGTAAACATCCAGGTCATGGTTTATTTTTAGTTCCAGATTCTGGCACATGCCTGCTCTAGAGACAATGGAAACAGTAAAGCTCGTGTTTTCACGAGAAATTCATACTACTGTACAAAGAGAAAAGTTAGACAGGTTATGCAACTCCAGCCTCCTGCCAAAAAGAAAAAAGCCAGAGCCACAGTTTTTTGTGCTTCATTTTTTTTTTCATAGTAATCACCTTCAAACTCAGCTACTTTACCGGGAGTCAGATTACGGCATGCTCTCACATGGGAAAGAGGAAAATGGAGAAAGCAGAGAAGAAACAGAGCAGGAGGAAAGGATTACAAAAATTCCTCTTTGCACATACTACATTCAAACACCCCTCTCCCACAAGAGGGTGGAGGCTGTTCCTTCTGTGTAATATTGCCTAAGGCTTACTATCCAACAAACTTAACCTTCTCTCTGGAGCTCTACTAGAGCAGCTATTATTTCCCTCTTTCCCCCAAGCCCTCAACTGCATCTCTCTGAAAGGCTCAATGAACTATAAGACTATGTAAGTAAGGAGAAGGACCTATAAGAGCATATGTAAGTAAAGTGAGGAAGTAAGTAATGAAAGAACTACAAGACTGTATGTAAGGGGGAAATCACACCCAAAATCCAAGTCACAGAGTTTCCCCTGCCACCAAACCTGAAGGAAACTACAGGCATGAGAAAAGACCAGCTGGAATGTACAGAGTCAGGAACCACTCTTCATTCAAAACGACAACAGCCAATC